ATCGGTACGTTTATTTCCGGGACGTGGCAATAGCCATATTGTCTCCTGCCACGGGCGTGGCACGAGACACTCCGTATTTAATTATAAAATACTAATGTTAAAATAATACATGGATATGTACTCTAAATCTGAGTAAACCTTGATGTACCTTTAATAACAACTTGACTTGTTTGTTAATTCAGGTCTTTGTATATTACCAGGACCTGGGTTTGTTTTATTATCACTATAAGGCAAAAAAAAAAAAACCTATGTTGCCCTCAAGTCGGAAAATTAAAAAATAGGGTCGGTCGGTCAGATTTTTTTTTTTTTTAAACTTGTGTAAACTAAGGGTATCGTAAATAGCCGAGGTATATGGGGAAAAAAAACGCGACCCGATATTTCATATTTTTTGGTCAGTCGCCGAGGGAAACAAAACAAATTTTTTTTTTGCCTAATTCCCATCAAAATGTAGCCCTGACACCCCTCAACATTTTCCACTGAGATTGGTAATGGTACGCCCCATATGTCACTGATTCAGATCAAGGTCATGACCAGGTCATGACATCACTAAAAACCCTAGCATTACAATCTAAGCTAATTATTTATTCTGAGCATGCTCAGTTGCTCTGTCAGTGCAGTAGGGAGAGGTAATTTTGGATGAAAATCTTGAGAAAGCCCTACTTAGGATTTTCAGATCTGGAAAAAAAAATTACGTGCACACTCGACAGAGACTTGTTCTTCAACCTGCCAAGTTTCATCGATATCTGCTGCAGAATTTCTGAGAAAATGTTGGAGACGGAAAACGAAAAATGGACATTGACAAAACCCGTTTTAAAAAGTCCCCTTTTCAGGCTGCACCTGAATGGGGACTAACAAGCAGCCTCTCGGCTGAGATAGCTCCACTGTTAGCAATGCACATTTCCATTAAAGAACTAAAGATATCATTAGAAAATGAATAAATCTAAAAGAGGTTTACCTGAGGTATCAACAAGAAGTCGTAAATATAACATTTTAGCAACAATTTTCATCAAAATTAGAGAATTGAAGATATCATCACAAAAAGAACAAATCTGAGAGAGTTCTACCTGAAGTACCTATATGTATAGTATCAAAGCAATCAGACTTGTGGTTTTTAATAAAAAGTCGAAAATATCACTTTTTACCAACAATTACAAAAAGTATTTATCAAAAGTCAACAGCAGAGCTAAAAAGTTTACAGACGACGATGGACAATCACTCATATGTTAAGCTCCACTCAACAAATTTGACAGTGGAGCTAACAATGATCTTTCAGTTGAGTCTGTCTAATTGATCCTGGTATTTGATGCAAGTTTGATAAAAAAGGTGACACAAAATCAATGTTTGGGCCACACAAATGTTAAAAATGAGCCAAAGCTGTACTGTATATACATACATAGTTAAATAGTATACTGAAAGCCTCTTGTGGCTATACTTAAATCCACTGTAAGAAAGAGGTTTTCCATTCTTACCTGTGTCAGTACATTTGTTTGGTGGAATATAGAAATACTACAAGGAATGTTGAAATAAATTTAATTAAATAATTTCATTCAAAGCATACCTATATATTCTGAATTAAATAATCAGATGAACACAAGATTTAATGATGAAAAACTAATATTCAAAATTGAATGCAACATTCAAAACAACAATATTGAATCATACTACCATGGCAACCATTATATATCAACCATTATGTTTATTTTGGTCTGTAGCATTTGTGAGGTTTTTTGTAATATATTCACACTTTTTACTGTAATATGTCCATAAATGAATGATTTTTATAACAGTTGTATTACCATGTTTATGTAATTGGTTGCTTTAAAGTGCAAAGCCTACAAAAATATGGAACAACAGCTTTAATCAAACAAAATTACACTTACTCGATAAAATTTTGCAATTTAATAATTTTTTATAAGGACATTCACAAGACCTTAATGTCATGAAAGTCACTGTGACTCTATTACTAGGTAAACCCAAAGACAATTCTCACTGAAATTTTGTGATATTTCAAGAATTGCAATATTCATAAAAATGTATTTCTCAGTATGAATGAACATGGTGACCAACTTAATATTTCATTTCAATTGAATCTCCCATTTGATGCAAATCTGTACTGATACTCCAGTTTCATATGTATCACACTAGCATTCTCATCTTCAAAGTCTAATTATGTATTTTGCAAGGTGTGCAGCTCTTGGAGTCTGACAGACCTTGGAAAATGCATAGATTCTCGACTATTTTCTTCTCTGTGTTTGTAACTGTTTGTAATTGTAGAATCATCTCTACAATTGTACATTGCAATACACGTAATAACCAAAAGATATCCCTGTAAATAATCAACTCTGGCAATTCTGGGTGAATACATTAGTTTTCTTTATCCTCAAGTTGTTTTTTATCTTTCTCTATTTTATCACTAAGTTCAGACATTCCTCCACGAAGTTCTTTTGCAAATGTATGAAAGAATGTGGACATTTTGTGTTCACTTGGTGGCATCTCTTCAAATTGCTTGAGCATCTCTGAGTCTTTGATTTTTTCCACTCCCTTCTGTACACCTTCTTCACCTGTAGGTTCAATTAAAATGCAACATTACACAGAGGTATGGGTGTTCTTTTGCACCAAATGAATATTTTATTTCAATCAAATCTCCCATTTGATGCAAATCTGTACTGGTACTCCAGTTTCATGTACATGTATCACACAAGCTTTTCGTCTTCAAAGTCCAATTATACATTTCACAAGGTCTGCAGCTGCAAGAACTCTGGGGGTCTGGCAGACCTTGGAAAGTGCATAGAGCAGTTATTACATAAAATTAGAAAATAATTTTGATGAGTGTTAAACTTTGTATGGATGGACAGAACAAAATACAAGTTTTCAGCATTTTGTAATTCATACAAATGTGCAATTCAGCTTGCAATTCACATTTGTTTTCCACCAGAACTGTATGGACCATCCCACACACCAAGTTTTAAAGTGATGAGTGTTGAATTTCTTTAGTTATAAATCTGTACTGATGTATAGACAAACAGACAATGTAACCACAATACCCCCCTCCCACACACACAATCACCATGTAAACAATCAGCAATAGTGTTTTATACTCCATTGTCTTGCTTGAAATATTGAACAGCAAAGCCAATATGTCCCCATGATTGTTTTATTCAGTCTACTTATTAGTGAATTTCAGAGCTTAAATTTTAAAGCCAATATTTCAAAATGAAAAGGTCCACCCACTCATTCTGGCATAGGACTTCAGGCCTTAGTGAATTCCAAGCCCTTCCATGTTAAATCAATATGATTTTATTGGACGTTTTGTACTGCTGAATACTAGGGAACAAAAACAATTTGTGATGGTCATAAAAACAGACTTTTTCTATTCACATCCAAACTCCAGTTTAAATTTTTTGTGGGAATTGTTTCTGTTCTGTCGTAATTACAAATATCTCTTTTGATTTTGAATTCAGTATTTATCAACAGAATTCAGTATACTGTATATGCTCTAATAGAAGTGCACATGAAAAAAATTATATTTATTCTATGTATGACCTCCTTTGACATATACTATTATTATTCATGCAAACATATGCGCTACTAATAGAGCAAACACGGTATATACCGGTACTTACCAAGTTCCTTTGCTTTGAAAAATGAATACGCTGTTAACTGGGCCAGTCTCCTGATAGGCCAGGTCTCTGAAAGCTGGAAGTTGAATCATAATGGACAGGAATAATGACATTAGCTTAGATTGACTGTTTATATTTAATGGTATGTTTGCATGAGACAGGATAAATTTTCACTGAATGTATAGATCTATTAGCATATTGAGCAAAAAGCACACTTACCTTTTCAACTAACTCCGGATGACTGGCAATATACCTGGTAAGTGACAAGATACACTATGTCAGGCACATCAAATCAGAGTAATACCAGAAAACAAGAATTTTATCAAGCATATATTTTTAACAAGTCATTGTCAATGACAAGTCCCCGTTCCGTTCATATTTGAGTGACATATACATTCAAAGCAGATCATGACCGAAATCTCAGACCACTTTCAGTGGTCTGATCCGAAATGCACCTGCATATGTAACAACACATTGTACTAAATCTGAACAAAATCCATCCATGCATGACTGAGATCCGGTTCCAGAATTGTGAAAATACGTGATTTTGATGCATTTTCCGCCTTAAAATGGCCATCATTCAGCTATTGTTAAGCGGATCATGAAACAAATGCACATATCTATTTGTGACATGATGTACCATGTGTGTGTGAAGTTTGAACTTGATCAATCCAGACATGTCTCGGATACGAATCCAGAACTGAATTCTTTAAAACAAAATGGCCGCCAGTCGGCCATTTCGAACTTGATCCAAAAAAAAAATGACGTGCATCAAGGTCCTATTATGTTTAATGTATGTACCAAATTTGAACAAAATCCGTCCATGCATAACTGAGATCCGGGTCCAGAATGGTGAAAATGTGCGATTTCAATGCATTTTCGGCCTTAAAGCGGCCGCCATTTGGCTATCGTTAATAAGATCATGAAACAAATGTACATACATATTTGTGACATGATGTACCTTGTGTGTGTGAAGTTTGAACTCGATCAATCCAAGCATGTCTCAGATACGGATCCAGAACTGAATTCTTTAAAACAAAATGGCCGACAGTCGGCCATTTCGAACTTGATCTGGAAAAAAATGTAATGTATGTACCAAATTTGAACAAAATCCGTCCATGCATAACTGAGATCCGGGTCCGGAATGGTGAAAATGTGCGATTTTGATGCATTTTCGGCCTTAAAATGGCCGCTATTCGGCTATCGTTAATCGGATCATGAAAAAAATGCATGTGCATATGTCCCATATAATGTGTGATGTATGAGTGAAGTTTGAACTTAATCGGTCCATGCATGTTCGAGATACAGGTGATCACGGACGGACGCACACAGGGCAAACCATAAGTCCCCGTGTTCGGACTATGTCCGAACAGGGACTAATAATAGAATACTGGACAAATTATAATCTTTCTGACAGCTAATTAGTGGAAATTTTAAAAGCATCACTAATTCCTAATAATAAAATGGCCATTTTGCAAGTTGATAATTGATAATTCAAAAACTAGTTTGAATACCCAAAGCTTTTTTTCAGAATTCAAACAGCAAATTAAACAAGCAGCCTATCGGCTGAGATAGCTCCGCTGTTAGCAATGCACATTTCAATTAAAGAACTGAAGACATCATTAGAAAATGAACAATATGAATAGTATCAAAGCAATCAGACTTACAGTTTTTAACAAGAAGTCGAAAATATCACTTTTTACCAAAAATTACAAAAATATTCACCAAAATAAATTAATTAGAGAATTGAAGACATCATCACAAAACGAACAAATCTGAGAGAGGTCCACATGTAGTACCTATATATGTAATATCAAAGCAATCTGACTT